GTTACCTAGGGGAGGTGGTGGAGTCTCCTTCCTTGGAGGTTTTTAAGGCCCGGCTTGACAAAGCCCTGGCTGGGATGATTTAGCTGGGAATTGTTCCTGCTTTGAGCAGGGGGTTGGACTAGATGACCTCTTGAGGTCCCTTCCAACTCTGATATTCTATGATTCTATGCAGTTAGAATGAGAAATAACCACCTAGTGAATTCGACACTGTGAAGACTTAAAAATGTGACGAGCTAACTAGTTTTATATATAGGGCCCTACCAAATTCACGGTGCATTTTGGTCAATTTCATGGTCATAGGATTTTAAAACAGTAAATATCATGATTTCAGCTATTTAAATCTGAAATTTCACGGTGTTGTAATTGTAGGGATCCTGACCCAAAAAGGAGTTGTGGAGTGGTCACAAGGTTATTGTAGGGGGTGAGGGGGATTGCGGTAGTGCCACCCTTCTGTGCTGCTGCTGGCAGCGATGCTGCCTTCAGAACTGGGCAGCTGGAGAGCGGTAGTGGGTGGCCGGGAGCCCAGCTCTGACGGCAAAACCGCTGCCAGCAGCAGCGCAGAAGTAAGGATGACATGGTATGGTATTGCCACCCTTACTTCTGCACTGCTGCCTGCAGACCTGGGCCCTCAATCAGCAGCTGCCACTCTCTGGCCATCCAGCTCTGAAGGCAGCAGCGCAGAAGTAAGGGTGGCACGGCATGGTATGGTAAGGGTAGCAATACCACGACCCCCCTAAAATAACTTTGCAACCCCCCTGCAACTGCCTTTTGGGTCAGGACCCCCAATTTGAGAAAGGCTGGTCTCCCCCTGTGAAATCTGTATAGTATAGGGTAAAAGTACACAAGACCAGATTTCACAGGGAAAGACAATATTTCATGGTCTGTGATGCATTTTTCATGGCTGTGAATTTGGTAGGGCCCTATTTATATAGAACTATGTTAGATGTCCCACCTACCTTCCAGAAGTTTCTGTTAACCAATCCCAGTCCCCCTTGAAAGTTCAGAACTCCACCCACTCTTACCTTTTCAAGGACCACCCCTTTTACAAGATTATAAAAAAATTAGCATAAAGTATACTGTGTATGGTATCATTTAAAAACTCATGATTTGCTGATCATTGTTGGCGTGGTAAAATGTGTGGCAACATTGTATCCAAAGAGACAAGATTCCACTGTACGATATTACCAGGACATGTTCTGAAGGGCAGTGACAAACAAGTTCCCTAGAGACAAAAGGCTAACCAACGCCTCAGCCAGGTGTCAACAAGATCAAATGCACCATCACCTGATTAAGTGGCCACTCTTCAGCAGCAGAGAGGGTGTGGGCAAAAAATCTACATTTTGACAAAGTAGCTTAATGGTCCTGACCATGCAATTTTTCTGTCTCCTGAACGTCAGTTGGAGATGATTCTTACAGAAGAGAAAGGGCTAGCTGGGATAATTTAGTTGGGGATTGGTCCTGCTTTGAGCAGGGGGTTGGACTAGATGACCTCCTGAGGTCCCTTCCAACCCTGATATTCTATGATTCTATGATAAGAGGAAAGGCCATATCTCCCAAATCATCTCACCCTTGCCCTCTACCCATGGCAGCATCAACCCCTGAAGAACAAAGGAAACAGCATTGCACTGGGGAAGGCTGGGGAGATCCTGAATGAAAGAGGTTCAGGCAGTAAGACTGTTGCAACATGTGATGAGAGAGACCTTTTGCTTTGTATTCACTTAGCTTGTTAAGTGAGGTATTAGTTGCCTTTCACCTTTTATTTCCTTGTAACCAATTCTGACTTATACGCCTCATTACTTGTCACTTAAAATCTTTTTGTTGTTAATAAATTTGATTTGTTGTTTATTCTAAACCAGTTTGTTTGGATTGAAGTGTTTGGGAAACTCCATTTGGGGTAACAAGATTTATGCATATAATTTTCTATTAATGAAATGATGGACTTTGTATGAGCTTGTATTGTGCAGGAGGCTTCTGGGTAGTACAAGACAGATATTTCTGCGGGAATGTCTGGGATTGGGAGTTTGCTGATATTGCCCTGCAGTGTAATTCAATAGTGGCTGGCTATAGAACTCATACAGTATAGCTGGGAGTGATTTACATGCTGGTGGCTGTGTGTGAGTAGACCAGGAGTGGTTGTTCTCACAGCGAAACAGTGTAAACGGCACCCCACGTTGGGGAACTGAGGGGACCACAGCTGTCCATCAGTCCAGATTGACCCTTGGTAAAGTCAAAGCTCCATCCATTCCCCTTCGTCCTTAGGATTCTGAACAGTTAGATAATATTTTTTCTCTCATTAGTCATAGTAGACATAAGAATCTTAGGGCTGGTCTACATTTAAAAAGCTGCACCAGTGCAGCTATGCCACCATAGCATTTTAGTGAAGATGCCACTATGCCAGTGTGGGGAGAGCTGCTTCTGTCAGTGTAGTTAATCTACCTCCACGAGAGGTGGTAGCTATGGTGACGGGAGAAGCTCTCTGCCAACACAGCGCTGGCTACGTTGGAGGTTTGGTCGATATAACTACATTGCTCAGGGGTGTGGATTTTCCACATGCCTGAGCAATGTAGTTATACCTATATAAGGTTGTAGTGTAGACCTAGGGTACGTCTTCACTACCTGCCATATCGGCGGGTAGCAATCGATTTATCTGGGATCGATATATCGTGTCTCGTTAAGACGCGATATATCGATCCCCGAATGTGCTCACCGTCGACTCCGGAACTCCACCAGAGCGAGCAGCGGTAGCGCAGTCGACGGGGGAGCCGCGGCCGTCGATCCCGCGCCGTGTGGACCCCAGGTAATTCGATCCAAGATACTTCGACTTCAGCTATGCTATTTGCGTAGCTGAAGTTGAGTATCTTGGATCGATCCCTTCCCCCCCCCCCCACGTGTAGACCAGCCCTTAGTGTTTTCATTACTTCCCTTCTACCTTTCTCAAACAGTTAAGGTTTTCATTTACAGATTGAAATTGCAGCCTAATGTTTCTATTATGAGGAAATTTCATATTATGTTCATGTAAATACTTCAAAGGGACAGTTTTAAAAATGAAAATAACTAAAGCTTCTAAAAACAGTGCAGTTCTGGACCCCTAATTACTAGACACAGAGACAACTTGCAGGGGGTTCAGAGAGAAGAGCAACAAAAATAGTTTGCAGCCTGCAGGGACTGATTTTTTTCAGCGAAGATCGAAAGTTAAATTTGGAAGCTCCATTTCTTAAGACTTCTAAAAACTCAACTGAACAAAATTCTAGTAAATGTACAATAATGGACAATGCTGCAGGGGATGTTCTAGATAAATGGTTCCCAGTTTGGTCTCTGAATCAGTTGTTCATGAAGTGCTTGCTAGTGGTTTGTAGAAAATTGGGTGGGTTTATAACTTTCCTCCTTGTTTCCAGCTGATTCTGCTGTCTTCCTTCATTTTCTCTGAAACACTGATCTTAATAGTTTGGGTCTTAAAAGGACTTTGTCAACAAAGTCGTGTATATTAAAACGGACTTAAATGAGCATGCAAAGAATTGACAAAAAATCCATTGTTTAATGGCAGCAATCTGCTAATAAAGGTGGTTCTGGATTGTACTTGGTACTTTTGAGGATACTTAGAAGTGATCCCACTAGATAGGTGACATAGACATGTGCAGATCATAAGTATAATTAAATTCTGCTCTTGTTCAACTATGCATGCTTTTTAAATTTCAACAAGGTTTAATCAGAGTTAGTTTTAGAGGAAAAATTAAGATACTATAATTGGAATAGATGAGGGTAAATATAATTTGAGTCCATAATATATGTAATTCAAATACTCTATCATGTGTTACTAAAGCTACAGTATTAATTTATTTTTCGTTTCCAAACAGCACCCGACAATGCCATCTACTCCTTGATGTCTTCAATTCAACTGAACATGAGCTGACTGTTAGTGCTAAAAACAACGAAGATCTAGTTCTGCATGCGGGGGAATGTCAGCGGTAAGTGCTTTTGGCATTAAAAAGATACTGCTATAGCTTTATTCTCTCAACTTTTGTGAGCTATTCATTTTTTTAAAATCGTACAGTTTCAGAGACTGTGGTCTATTTTTGTTTCGCTGAAGATACATCTTTGAGTGCTAAGAATGTCTCGCTGTAATTTATTTTGTCTGCAGTTTTCTTCCAGTAAAATTAATTGCAGAGCACAAGGTGATTGTTACTTGTGGAGCGAAAGAATGGGTTCAGCATTGTACAAATGACATGGACTGTTGGATGACTGGCTATGTTTTCCTAAAACTTCTATAATATAATGGTTCTTGATGCACTTTAAACAGAGCGTATTTTGATGTTGAAACCTCAGCTTTTATTGGTTGAAATAGATTGAATTCACTGATATATAATCTTTGCACAGAATAGACCTTTCTTCATTCAGTTCACTTCTACCATAACAACCATTCTGTGAAAAGAAGAAATAGACAAAAGAAAATGGAAACAGAGAAAAAGAAAACAGGCGCAATTACAGTAGGTTAGTTCTGTAGTCTGTTCCCTTCATTCATCTCCTTGGGCACTTATCTAGGCAGGAGCTCTTAGAGGTATTCCCATCCCCTTTCCTAACCTGTCCACTTCACAGTTGTTAGACTGTTTGTTCATATGGACAGGTACCATCCTTCTTTAATATCTGGAAAGTGCATGGAACATAGTGGACACAGTCCTAAACAATTAATAAATAGTGTTGAGACCATTACCCTATCAATCAAATCCTTCCTAAGACCCCATTTCTTCTGTGGTGCTTATAAGAAGTGAATTTATTTTATCATTGGGGGAAAATCAGTGTTGTAATGCCAAAATATTAACAAGAGGCTTCCTCAAAAAGTTTATGCCTTACATACAAATAAACATTATATTATCTGGGTAAAATCTCCAGCCCACCACACACTGTCCCTCTAGCAAAATAGCCATCAATTTACATATTCTTTCCGCCCTTCCCCCCTTCCTCCTCCCAGGTTGTGGGGAGAGGTGAGTTGGTGTGGGTTGGAGGAATGAGTCTACACAGAGTACTTCAGGAATTTAGGCAGAAAAAGGTTTCCTGGGTTGATGGTAGGGGAATTTGGCTCCTTTGCTCTCTCTGAAAGGTGTTTCATTGCCATCTTCTCCATACTCTGAAACAAAAATTGAAGATGAGATGCTGGTTGATAACTGACAAGTGTCGACATCAAGTGATGGTTTCTTCAGTTAAGATATCAAGTATCAAGAGGTAGCCGTGTTAGTCTGTATCTACAAAAACAACAAGGAGTCTGGTGGCACCTTAAAGACTAACAGATTTATTTGGGCATAAGCTTTCGTGGGTAAAAACCTCACTTCTTCAGATGCATAGAGGGAAAGTTACAGATGCAGGCATTATATACTGACACTGCTCTCCATGTGTCAGTATATAATACCTGCATCTGTAACTTTCACTCTATGCATCTGAAGAAGTGAGGTTTTTACCCACGAAAGCTTATGCCCAAATAAATCTGTTAGTCTTTAAGGTGCCACCAGACTCCTTGTTGTTTCAGTTGAGATATGCACTTACTTCCTTAAGAGCTCTCAGTATTCTGCCCTTCTTAAAGGTGGTATTGACAGTCTGCCTCCAAATGACCCAGAACTTCCCTTTAAGCTTTCATCAGCCAAGAAGGCCTTATGTCCAAACAGGGCGTGGAATAGAATTTTCTGATCACATTCAGAACCACAACCACCACAGTTCTAAACCCAGATGAATTTTGGCTTTCAACTTCTCAATATCCTGCTTTACTGTCATTGATGTGGGCAACTTAGTCTTAATCCAAGTAATTTTCTCTGCTAACCAGAATAAATAAAAATAACCAGAAATTTGCTCTCAGTGAGAAGGAAAACTTCATTAAACAAGAACAGGAGTACTTGTGGCACCTTAGAGACTAACAAATTTATTAGAGCATAAGCTTTCGTGGACTACAGCCCACTTCTTCGGACAGTTTCTCTACCATATGGAATGATGGTTCTTCTCAAGAGGCACACAACTATACCTCATGACCTTAGGAAATGTTTGTCCCAATAAGTCATCTTTGGCCCAGGACTTCTGCCATTAGCTCTTTAGCTGTCCTACACCTTGCCTCATCTCTCACAAATCATCATTAAACCAAGGTTACTTGTGAGGATGAAACCATGAAAGGGGAAACACTCCAGTACCGTTGATCATCAGAATAAGTTCCTCACTCCTCCAGGAGAATAAACTATATTTTCAAGCCATTGGAGCCAATGATTTTCCATGAGAGGAGTACTTTATCCAGCCCTCTGATTCTAACCCAAACACTAGATCCAAAGCTGAGTCTGCAGCTACCTGGGACAGTCCTAGAACCCTCACGTTGGCCACAAAATCCTGAACTGAATATGAAGATTCATGATCTTATGCCAGTGTTGAAATTACTGGGCACTGTCAGCCTTAGTGACTCCAGAGCCGCCACATTCAGGAAATTCATTGTCTCAGATTGAAGCTGCACTTTTGCCATTTGTTTATTATAGAATTCACCTCTTCCATGATCCCTGGATTAAAGAAGACAATAATATGCAGTCTTGTGTTCCTTATGTTTAATTAAAAAGATAAAAAAAGAAAAACTTTAACAATCACCAAGATGTGCGATGCCTAACCATAGTAAATGTGTGATTGTGCTGCTGTGTCCCTTGCCCTTCCGTGTCACATCCTTTCCATAGTGTTTCTGAACCTCAGCCATATTTTAAAAAAACCTGTAAGCTCTTTGGAGTAAGGAGTATATCTTTTGTGAAGAGCCAGCACAGATTTGGGTGGTATAAAATAATAAATGGGAGTAATAGATTCATAGGACTGGAAGGGACCTTGAGAGGTCATTTAGTTCAATCCCCTGCACTCATGGAAGGACTAAGTATTATCCAGACCATCCCTGACAGGTGTTTGTCTAACCTTTTCTTAGAAATCTCTGGAGATGGAGATTCCACAACCTCCCTAGGCAATTTATTCCAGTTTTTCCTAATGTCCAACCTAAACCTCCCTTGCTGCAATTTAAGGTCATTGCTTCTTGTCCTGTCCTCAGAGATTAAGAAGAAGAATTTTTTCCCCTTCTCCTTCTAACAGTCTGTTATGTACTTGAAAACTGTAATCATGTCCCCACTGTCTTCTCTTCTCCAGACTAAACAAACTAACCAATTTTTTCAATCTTTCCTCATAGACCTTTAATCCTTTGTTGCTCTTCTCTGGACTTTCTCCAATTTGTTCACATCTATCCTGAAATGTGCCCAGAACGGGTCACAATACTCCAGTTGAGGTCTAACCAGTGCAGAGTAGAGTGGAAGAATTACTTCTCATGTCTTGCTTACAAAACTCCTAATACATCCTAGACTGATGTCTTCCTCTTCTCTCTCCCCCCCCTTTTTTTTCTTCCCCCCCCCTCCCCCCAACAGTGTTACTCTGACTCCTATTTGGCTTGTGATCCACTATGACCTCCAGATCCCTTTCTGCAGTACTCCTTCCTAGGCAGTCATTTCCCTTTTTGTATGTGTGCAACTGATTGTTCCTTCCTAAGTGGAGTACTTTGCATTTATCCTTGTTGAATTTCATCCTATTTACTTTGGACCATTTCTGAATGGTCCAGATCATTTAAAATTTTAATCCAAAGCACTTGCAGCCTCTGCCAACTTAGTATCGTCCATAAACTTTACAAGCGTACTCTATGCTATTATCTAAATCATTGATGAAGATATTGAACAGAATTGGACCAACAACTGATCCTTGTGGCCCCCCCCTTTGGTATCCCCTTCCTGCTTGACTGTGAATACTATAAACTATAATACTATAAACACCTTTTAAAAATAGGCCTACAGCACAGTGACCCTTTATTGGGTCGATAAGTTTGAATAAGTGGCTCCTTTTATTTTTATTCAGGTTTAATAACTTTAATTTAAATAGTCTGAAATGCCAATATCATAACAGATGTAAACATTTCCAAGTACTTTACTCCTCCAGTAGGGTTATTTATCAAAGAAGAACTTCACAGCTTGTTTCACATTTACATTTTCATCATATGTGCTCCTATCACAATAATGTGATTTTAGTTTCAGCATAAAATATTTGAATGTTGTAATCTGGGTTATAAATTGCACTTTACTATGTGTGTTTTGTATTAATTTATCTTCTGTTTCACAGTTATAATAAGTACTTTTAATGTAAGCTTTACTGCATAGCTCCTACTTTGCCTCCATAGTTCTACAGTTAGTATAATTGAACATCGAGACAAACTTAAATTGCATTTAAGAAGGCCCTGAGAAGATTACCAACCCCCTTCAGTGAGAAGGCTGATTTTACTACCTAGAGGCCAATATGAAAAATGCAGAAATTAGCCTTTTTCAATCTTCCTTGCTGTTCAGGGACAGGGTGCACTGGTCTTCCCAACAGAGCCTTGCCACTGGATTCTCACTTGCCCCTTTTTTCCTATCTTCTGGACTACTCCTTGTTAATAAATGATTAGGTATTTGACATGTTCACCTCCAGTCAGTTTTTAATTCCTTGTTCTTTCTCCATCCCCAGTATCTCCATTATTTCCTTTGTCACCCATCATTAATATTTCCCTCATTTCTCTTCTGTTTTATCCCTACCCATTCCCCTCACTCCTCAGGGCTTGTCTATATAGAGACATATTGCATGGCCAGCTAGGGTATAAATCTACAGTGTACTAGCCTGACACACTGACTGGTCATGTAGACCCGGGTATAATGCACTAAAAGTTCTGTGGTGCACTGTGACATACTACTGTTTGAAATAGGCTGTGGAAAGCATAAGCACTACTGTATCATTCCACTCAACATAGTAAAGCTTTATTTATCTGGTGTTTTAAGAAAAATGTGCGAGTTCCCTCCCTTCCCAACCACCCCTGTAATACATTAAAACACTGATGGCAACAATTGTCTTATCCTGCAAAATAATGCAATCACGGGGGCTCTTTTT